ACGACAATGGTATATTGACGCATCGATCAGATTACGCCCTTGACATTTCTACTGGTCGACCGAACAATCGCTGACTCGTTCTGCAGCAATCCAAGCTGGACTCAGTTCACATGGAGTGTCGCGAGCATGCGTGTGGCCTGACGAAAATGTGTGCACGACCTGACGGGTTGTTTAAGCTCCGTAGTAGTAGATGTATGCTACGTATCGGACTCGAGTCCAGGATCCTAATAATTTATTCGACTTGAGCGGGCCAGATTTGTCGAGGTACGTTTTTCGCGCACGAAGCGACGACGAATTCCGTTCAGTTGTTCAACTCAGCAGTTGTACTCAGCAACAGGGCCATAACTTCTCTTATCGATTGGATACCTGACAACAGTCGTTTATGTGCGATGGGTCTCTGGGATTCTTCGGCAGCCGGAAGAGGAGCAACATTAAAGGTGTCTGTTCGCTATACTTTTTATGACAGTTCGTGATGAAGAGCAGACGGGGAAAGCCCCATTGTTACGAAGAACTACTGTTCAGGGATGGAAACCGGTAAACAAGCCCCGGGAGTGGCGAACCACATACAGTTCCGCTAGGTCAGGCATATGCACCGACCAACTGCAGTTCCGATACACAAAAAGATTTCTCCGATAAACTCACCAATATGGTTGTGCTTGCAGGTGATGCTAACGCGCAGACTGGAAAACTGAGCGCATCAGAAGGTAGTCTAGGCGGTAGTTGTGCTCTACCCTGCAAGTGAACAGCGATTGACTTCCTCAGTTCTTTGCAGGCCATCCGGTACCAACTTCCGACACAGCTCTCAACGGACGGGAACGTGGCGCTCCAATTCCAGTGGTACGCTAACTCGAACCGGCCACATAGCAGTAAGCTACCAACACAAAACTACAGGTCCTATTTGACCACCTGTTTGGAGTCTGATCACGCATTAGTTTTATTGCAGTTCACTCGCGCGAAAATACGTGATTGTGTAGATTAACAGTGGGATCGGATTAGCCGAGCAATGCATTCCGCAGTGAATGTTGCCCATGGGTTTGAGCCTCAAGCCCGTCGGAGGCATTGGATATCTCGTCGGGTGGTAGTTCTTATGGGGACAAAACGACAAATCCTGACCTGCCAGAATCAAAACAGAATTGGGCGGCATCCGCAACGTGAAGTCATGAAGAGCCTCAGGAAGGAATGTGAGAACTGGCGGACAAAAATAGCTAGTGAAGTGAAAGTAGCAGCTGCATCAGGGAATAGTTAGACTGTCCCAATGGATACGTACCGCGGGTGGTCGGAGAACTCTACTTAGCGAAACAATCTGCGATAAAAGGTGACAACCTGGACCGAGTACTTCATCGAACAACTCAGATGGCCTGGAGCGAGCCAGGCTATTTTATCTGCAACTGAAGCTTCGTGGGCAGTGTAGTGCGCTCCTCCGGAAGAAGCAGAAACTTGATGTTGTATCCAAGAGTTGAAGCAAGGAATAGTAGCAGGACGGGACGGGCTTCCCCATACTCTTTTTAAGATGGCGGTGATAATCTCATGGGCTTTATTACTAAATTGCTGCACATTTGATCACAGGAGCGCATTCGTTCGTTTTAGGGCGAATCACTGACTGCTTACATTTTCAAGAAAGGATCCCGCAACGAATGCGCAAAGCATCAGGTGATACGTCTGTTCCCGATTATCACAGAGGCATTAACCTCCATCATACATCGACGTTTAACGCCTAAAAGAGATACCAATGACCGTGAACAACGGGCCACATGCCGATCTAGTCTCGGGTGCAATGCGTTATATCATGTCCTGGATCAACGATAGCAACGTTCTTTCATATACAAGGGGCTTTGATAAAATCGACCACGAAGCACTCATCGATTCCGTTCTTTGTAAAGGAATGTAACAGAAGTACGTTAACTTACCAAGGTCAATTGACCGCGGTACTTCTGCTCGAGTGAGGGTCTATAGCTCGTTTGTCGCCAACACAGTTGTCTAACAAGGACGCCCATTTTCATCGTTCCTGTTCCTTTTAGTCGATGATGAAGTAGTTGAGACAGCACAAAGTGGGCAACGAAGTGCTCGGGTTAAATGGGCGGCTGAAAAAGGTTGTACTATTTAGAGTACGATGTTGAAATCTTCTGCCTATTTGATTGTATGGAGGGTGTACAAGCGCACTAGACCTGGTAAGGGGTTTGCACCTTCAAAGTGCAAAGTGATACAGTTGTTCACTCCCCGTTTGGAAACTGAATCCTTTCGAGGATCTGTTTTATGTCCCATCCATCGACCCTCGCCCTCAGTTACCATTGTTGTTTGGTTGGCACCAAGCTTGCACGCAAACCTAAGGGAAAATCACAGTAAACGAGTAATGGAGAGGTGAACATATGGAAAGCGGTTGTTCACCCCGGATGGCAATCAAGTTCTTCTTTGTGATCAGCAATGTAGTACCAAAGATATAATACTCCCAAAAAATCGGTTACAAACCTTTGTATCGCCCCGGCCATCCTTCCTGAAAGTTGACTGTACATCTATATGCTCAATAAACAGAGAAGAAAGTAAAAGCATTTACGTATTCATAATGGATAGTTTGGTAGTCCGTGGCTTCGTTCGGCACAGCTTAGGAGGTTACGATAACCAATTTCGAATGGAAGAACGGTGACAATTTTTGTGTCACATGCAAATGAACTCTCGGCAGATGGAATAACAGCTAATCAACGTCATCGAGAAATCCGGTGCGACATTCGGGACAATGAAAAACGTGCTTACTTGACACATAGCTTTGGTCAAATGAACAACCGATTCACTTTTGCGCAGATCCCAAATCACACAGCTCCCGGCACTTGTGGTGGCCAGTATATGTTGTACACGTGGATTCCATGCGACCGTCGAAATTGTTTCCAAAGGCTATAAAAAATGGAAAATAATACTACTCGTGATTGATTGCACCAGGTCTAAAAACTGTTAATCTTGGTGTGCGGAAGTTGGAACGCCTGGGGCAAGAAATGACTCGACAAAGAGAGTTGCTATGTATACAACCTCCAAATTTATATGAATTCATTGCACACAAACATTTATTGTATTACCGTGCAATATAAATCGTTTTCTGCTGCTTATCTCTGGTGATTGCAAGAGATAGGATACGAGATTTTACACCCATGTTTCTTTAGAAGATTGTTATCTTCTTCAGTAGAGACCGCCTTTCATTATTAAGTCACCTTTTTCGCTCCTTCGAAAGTGCACCGATGGAAAATTCCGATTACTGTTTACGACACTCAGCTTTATCACTGCCTTTAACCATCGATCACGCTGATCCACTTCCATCTAGGAATCCTACATTTTACTTTGAATTTTGAGTGACTAACTCTTACGTAATGATAATGCGGCTTCTTGGGTGTTTCTGATGATGGTAGTCCACGCGTGGTGATCGGTGGTAAGGTTGGCGTAGTTTGAGACCCAGTTTTGGTTCCAGTCACGAGTTCCATATACTGATTGGAGGTCAAGTCGTTCCATAATTGACTTGATCGTATTGCTCCAGGTCTCCATTTGGTGACGGAGTCGGCAACACCATCTACAGCAGAGTAAAGGGGCTTCCGCCTGACACCTTCTCTATCTAATTCCCTTTCGAGATGCGACATAAGCGTCAATGGTCAAAGACCTCCAGCTTCACTATGATTTGTGCTTTTAGTGGCCATGTTCAACAACCATAAGTGAGGATGAGGTGGGTGGAAGCCTGACAAATCTGAAGCTTGGTGTGCATGCTTATCTCGCATTGTTTCCACAACCGTCTGAGGAGTTGCAGGAAGGCCTTTCTAGCTCCATCTAGACAAAATTGGAGTTTGTATGTCGATTGTGAAAAGTTCAGTAGCCTCGGTGGGGTTCGAACCCACGCATGGACACCGCCTACGCTTTGTACGCGCATGCTCTACCAGCTGAGCTACGAGGCCACACCGATGGCACTGATCTTTTTCACATTCGAATTTACCCATGGAGTTTGTCTTAACCTGGCCGCTCGGTTGAGATATTTGAAGACTTTCGATTCGACAAGCTTTCCGGTAATCGATAGACCAAATGGACATGCTTCCGTCTGTAGTCTGGAGACACTTTAAAGCGTACAGCTTCACTAGTCAAATATCAATTTGCAGTATACAAAGCCTTATAGCCAAACAACACAAAACCTGGCTTCAGAATTATTGCACCAAATAAATTGACTCAGCATACTTCTTCGTCAAGCGGGAATCCCTAAATCACGGAACGCGACCCAGCTGCATAACCATCCCACTTGAATGATAAAAAACCGAAGTAAACGATAAAGAGTCCTAGGTATTAGTTTTAACTTTGCACTCTATTAAACACGAGTAAGCAATCAGGCATGGCCACAACATCGAAAGTAGTTGTGGGAAAACTGAAATCAATATTGTGAGAAATAGCAAGGCTAAATGAGAAACACCAGCGTGCGTGTGCAAAATCACATTTCGGATCAGGAGATTCTGTCCAAAATGGTGACCTACCTGGGTTCGAGTGCTGGGAATCATGGGTTGGTCCATTTTCTCTATATCCCAAATAAAAATTTCTCCCTCGTCAGCGACAGATGCGAACAGATTTAGCTGGAATGAGAAAAACCAAAGTGGACCAATAAGTATGAAAAGGGGAATGAGAAAAAAGCTTATTAGAGCTCGTCATTAGTGCATACCCACTGTCCCGTCCGGAATTTCAACTCCAAACCCATCGCATGAAAGGCGTGTGTGTTACCACTGTGTCAACCAGCTCATGGCAGGACTGAACCGAATTGCCTATTCACGTTTGTTCAGGTCTCGTCTTCAGAGATAGTCATTCAGTTCAATTTGGCCCGATAGCAACATAGTTGAATATTTATTAATTCAATCGAAAGCCTCCCACCAAGTCAAGTCTTCCATGCAGGTTACGGGTTAACTGACCGCAAAACTACTAGGCTGGATTGATAATGCGCATTTGACTCACAATTACTTGTGTGCCTGGTTAGTCGCAGGTGACATAAGGTGAGTTTGTTAGCAACATCAAGATAAATTTTCATGTCTGAGTGTTTTGGTGGTTAACTGGTTGTCATGATGCACTGATGAGTGGGTACTGATGGTTAGGGAGCGTACTAGTACATCTGGTAACCTTGTATTGGTTACGGCCCCTGTCCGGGATATTGATTACACCCTGTAAAATTCAATAGATCGAAGTAAAAGCATTGCCCACCAACTGCTGCGCTGCACATTTAATTTCGTTTTATGCACCTAATAATCTTGTTCTAATAAGACGGTTTAGGTTGCGATCTTTTGCTCAACCGCTTGGTCGACCAACGAGAGAGGAAACAAATGGTAAAGTGAAAAGGTGAGAGCACCATTCAGAGAAAAATGCATAAGGCAAGTAGACTAGATCTGGTTAGAA